AACCTATTACTTGAAGTAACTGGAAAAACTGTATCATAATACAAACTAGCAGAAGTCACTGGCTTATTGGTTTGTTGTTAGGCAATTAATGCAAAGATCTGGGACAGTAAGTATCATAAAGTAGTTTCAGCTTTATTAGTAAAGAAGATAAGCAGGTAAATCAAAGGTGTGGCTTTTACTTATGAAACTATCTTTTAGTTTAAAGGAAATAAATATTGTATTACAACAAAATGTATGAATAATAATTTATTTAAAGTTTCCCACAGATATGTCCGATCTCTTAGATTTCTAAAAGAAGTTTCCTTTTTCAGCATTAAATGATACATTGTTCTTTTAGCATTAAAATTATATAATCTGGGGCACCTGGGCGGCTCAGTCAGTTAAGCGTCTGCCTTCAGCTCAGGTCATGATCCCAGAAGTCCTGGGATTGAGCCCTGCATAGCATTGGGCTCCCTGCTCAGCGGGCAGCCTGCTTCTCCCTCTGCCCCTCCCCCTGCTCATGCTTTCTGTCGCTAATAAATAAATAAAAATCTTTAAAAAAATGATAGAATCTGAGGTAAAGATATAAGAAAGTGTCTTTTACTACCTATTTACATGAAAAGTTTTTTCAGATTTCTTAAGTACTAGAAACAACCAAAAGTAACTTCTATACAGAAAAGGATTTTGGAAGAAATGAGTGAGACCCTTAATACAGAGATAATAACATAGCAGAGATAAAGGGCTCAATAAACGAAATGAGAAACACACTTGACAGAATGAACAGCAGGCTGGAAGAAGCAGAGGAACGAATTAGTGACCTAGAAGGAAGAGTAAAGGAAAGTAATCAAGCTGAACAAAAGAAAGAAAAAAGAATTCTGCAAAACGAGAACAGACTTGGGGAACTCAGTGACTCCATCAAACGTAATAACATTTGTTATTTTAGTATTAAATGTCACAACTAATGTTTAATCAACGCAATGCTCTGGTTCACCAATATCTGAATATGACAGAAGGAGAATCTGATTGCTGAAAGGTCAGCAGAATATCCCCCTTTACTAAACTCTATGTATTATTGTACCTTGATAAAGTTATGACTTAAGAAAATCAGACCCCTTACATTCTCTTCTTTTAATGCTACCAGCAACTTCCTTAACTTAGAAACCACTATCTTCCAACTCTGTTCCAACTGCCACTACAGTAGTTCAGGCTCTCAACTCTCACTTAGGTTGATGAAAAAGTTTCTTAAATTGATCTTCCTTACTCTAGGCTCTCTCCCCTGCAACTTACCAATTTATTTATGCTACCTCAGTTATGGTTCTAAAACATAAACTTGATCTGGTAACTGTCCCCTACCTCAAAAACCTTGCATGTACCCTCTCCCCCTTCTCAATAGATGTATGAACCTAGACTTACTTCCTGGAAAGATAGATGCTAAACACTGTGAATTGAACACATGAATGACACAGAGACAAAAGATTGCAAACCATTGCTATAAAGTTTATCATGGCATTCAAAGCCTTGTTATAATCCTAACCCAACATGCTTTTAGCATGAGCTCTAGGCAAAAAGCAAACTTATTCTCATGGATTTAGAGACTGTTATATGAAAGGTCTTTATTTTTAAATACTACTGCAAAACCATGCACATTTTAAATACAGGTTATTTAAAATTGATCACCTTCGGTGTTAAAAATTAGAAGTCATTATTACTTATGAAGACAAATTTTTTTCCTCAAACTTTCTATAATCTCAAGGCTTATTGAATTTGCATACCTGTGTACCTTTTATTTTATACTGATTCAATATCTGTTTTAAGAGTAAGAGTTCTTAGCATATGTTCATAAAACAAACCTTTAAGCCTATGGAATAAATGGTAATTTTCTTTTTTTAGATAAAAATATGGAAACAACTGAAACTAAGATCAATTTAGAGGTTCTAAGACCAATATAAACAAGCCCTGATTAATCAAACCCTGATTATCAGGGCACCAGACTTACTATTCCAGCCTATTGGTCATCTGACTTTTTACTTATCCTTACAACAGTGGCTTACACCGTAGTGGCTTACACTCTTACGACAGAAACAAAACAAAACAAAACAAAAACAGGTAACTCAAACCGGTTAAGTTTTACCTCCTATTGCAGCTAATGGGGTGGGGAGAGGGTTGGAACCAGATTATTTATAAAATGCTATATATGAATTTTGGTTTTTCCTGTTCTGTATTACCATATATCATAGTTGAATGTATATATTTTGTACATAAAATGAATATACTAGGGAAATAATACATGCTCACAGAAATATAGTAGGTTGGCAATAAATTATCACCCTCATCCACTCTTCCCTACCAGCCTCCTATTAAATAAACAATGTTCCTTTTAAATGTTAATAAATTCTTCTGGGTGTCATAAATTTCAGAACTCTTCAAATAAACTACCTGTCTGGTTGAGGAAGCTCACCATATATCTGGTTGAGGAAGAGCACCATATTATCTGCAGATAAAATCTAAAAATGTCTCTAAGAAACTATATCAAGAGTGAGCAATAGAAAGTATCTTTGGAAAAAAGGTAGAATTAAGATACCCAACTAAAAATTTCACCTAAGAATATTAAACATAATTTTATAAGAATACGGATAGATGTACTTTTCACAACATATAGGACATTATTTACCTAAGTAAATTAACTTGGCTACAGAATAGGTCTGCTGTTAAAAACGTTTTTCTACCTATATAACTGGACATCATTTGTTGGAGCCTACCCAGAATCAAGCTCTATTTTCCCTTTTCCAACAACACTTAGTGTATCTGAAATGTAGGTGAACATGGGGGAATGGTGATCCACTAAGAGAATTAGGAAAGACTAAGTTAAAGGTTTTCTATGTCACCCTAAGGACTTCTAACTTTCTCTAAGCAATGATACACCACTGAAAGATTTCAAAAATAGAAATCACAGGACTGTACTTCTGAATTATAAAGATCCTGGTGACAGTGTTGAAGATGGGGGTGAGGTGAGAATGGAGGCAGAGCCATCAATTAGGAGATAATCATGAGTTCTTAATTAAAGGGAGAGGTGACTTTGGAAGGCAATTTGGCAGTCATCTGAAATGCATATATCCAGCAATTTCATTTCTAGATATGAACCCAGAGAAACAATCCTACATAATAATGTACAAAGACATTGCTCTAGAATGTTCACTGTGTTGTTTGTAATATTAAAAAAGTAAAAAACTTCAATGACCATCAATAGAGGAATGAATAAATACAGATGGAATATCATACTACAGTTAAAAAAATGAATTAGATCTATGTATACCACCATGGCTAAATTTCAAAAATCAAATGAAAAAAATTAAGCTGCAGAAAAATGTATTCTGCGGTACATTATTTATCTAAATCAAAACACATAAAACAACATTACATATTTTCTGTTTACCTACAAAGGCTACATTCCCTGAGTGCTTCTCTGTGCCAGGTACTATTCTAAGCACTTTGGACTCATTTTTCCTCACTACATTCTTATGCTATAGGCAATATTATCCCATTCTACAGATGGGGAAACTGAGGCATGGAGGTTAAGAATCTTCTGAAAGGCCTAAAATTAGGAAGTGACAGAGCCAGGATTCAAATCCAGGCAGCCTTGTCCAAAATTTAAAGAGCAAAGATTCTGTAAAGATTCATGCCAAATTCCAATGACTGTTTATTCTGGAGAAGGAGATAGATATCAGGTAGGGGAGTGGAGCCACAGGAAGACGTTAGCTATAGCTGCAATGTTATTTTTTAACAATGCATTCAATTATTTTTAAACAATATGTCCATTTTTCCCCATAAAAATTTGTAGCATATTAAAAAAAAGTCTCCACCAAAGATGCTAAAGTGTCTATCATAGTTGACTGTGGATGGTGGAAATATGGGGACTTCCTGCAATTTCTTTGTAGTTTTCAGTATCTTTCAGTTTTTAAAACCAGTATTATTGAATGCAAAACGATTTCCTTTCAATATTTTAGCCAACAACCATAAAATTATTCCAGTGCCTTACAAACCTAACTCTTTCTGAAGTTTGGCACTTAATGTCATTTTGCACTGGATAACTGTCATAGGGGCCTCCCTGTGCGTTGCAGGCTATTTAGCAATACCCACTAGATGCCAGTAGTAGGCCCCAACCCAGTTGTGACAACCAAAAACAACCAAAAACATCTCCAGACACTGTCAGATGTCCGCTGCGAGACAAAATTGCCCCAGGTTGAGAACTACCCTAATTAATAAACTATAAGATGTTTTACATCTTTCAACTTTATATAACTGCTTTAGTTTAAGGATTTCAAATATATAATCCTTGATTATTGATTATTGTTTCTCACACTCCAAGTCGGAAAGATGAGGCGGGGGTGAAGAAAGTTCCAAGCGAAATAATCCTATACAGCAAAGCACTTAAAATCTAGTCATCATTCCAAAGAATGATGAACATAGGCCGCGGCAGACTCGCTTCCATCCCCTTATTCCGCAAAGAAGGGAGCCAACCCAGCTCTGCCGCCCAGCCCCGCGAAGACCAGGTAAGGGACGACTGGCCGGCCCTACCTCACCGCGCGAGGCCCTGCGTCCTATAGCCGCCAGGTTCCCGACTCCGTACGCGGGCGCAACGTCCCTGCGCTCCAAACCTCCCGCCCGCGCGCTGCATCCTGGGAGATCTGGGCCGGAGGCTGCGTCGAAAGCAGAGGAGGCGGAGCCCGCCGAGCCTGCCGAGCCTGCTAGGAGACGGTTACCAAGGGAGGCTGAGGGGGCGGGGCCTCCAGGGAATGTGAAAGCGAAGGGCAGGCGGAGCTTGCTCGGGCGGAGCTCGGCGCGGGAAGCTCCCGTGATCCGGCGGTAGGCGGAGGCGGGTCCGCAGTGCAGGGGACGTCGGGGGAGCGGAGCCCAAACGAGAAGCTAATGGAAAGCCACGCTGGGACCTGGTTCCGCCTCCAGACCCAGGCGGCCACATTGGATTGGACAACGCGGCGACACTTCCGCCCGCCTCCCGGTGTCACGCGACCGTCTCCACCTCCCGCCCTTCTCTACCTCCTGGCCCGCCTGGCCAGTGATGAGATATTCGGACGGGTCGGAAGGTGGCCACCGCGATCGAAATCACGTCCACGACCGCGACCATGGCCGAGGTGAGGAGGCGACCACACCGCTGCCGGCCCTCCCCCCAGACCCGGAAGCTTCCTCTGAAGCCAGGGGGCTGTGCGCCCAGGTGCAGGTGGGCTGGGCTGAAGGGAAGCGGGGTGGTGCGCGTGGTGTCTAAGCGTCCCTTCGTGTCTCCCTTTCAGCATCACGCCCAGAATAAAGCCAAGCTCATCTCTGAGACCCGACGGAGATTCGAAACCGAATATGTGACAGGTGGGTACCGCGTTCTCGATGTTGAGGCAGGTGTGCAATGAGCGTCCCCAACTTTCCAAAGGTGTTTGCAGGTGTCTGTGGGAAGCTTTAGGGACCGTTTCGACCCTCACAGTGATGATGCCCTGCACGTTTCCAAGGTTTTCTTCTCCGTAACACGCCATGCACACTGCTCCAACTGGGCAGGTGATACGCCCATTGCTTCCTAAAGGGTTAATGTAAGTTGGAAATTAGTTACTTTCTAGCATCTCGAGTTTGTGAAACTTGCAGGACACTTTCAAGGCCCACGGCACAGGTGACACTGTCCAGTACACGGTTTCTCTGCTGACCTTTCACCAGCAACAATGGAGAAAAAGAATCTGGAAACCGCCATAATGCTTTTCACGTGTACTTAATTGGGGATACAAATTCCTTGGATATTTTTGCCTAATTCCACTTCATACAACCCAGTATGCTACCCATGGAGTAGGCCTTCCAGGGCTGGAACAAGTTTTCTTTCATCCCACACTGTACCTAGCCAGAGTACCTGTGAGTCCAGAATTGATTTATTGGTTGAACATTATGTGTTCATATGGTTGAACGGATGTCCCAGATACTTGAAACTGATGATTTAATCCTTGTACAGTAATTTTTTAAAACCTGCAGGATAATTTATTATAAATATGAAATAGTGAATCCTGACCCTGCCACTTATTAGTTTGGTTGTCTTTTCTAAGCCCCTGTTTCCTTATCTGTGAAATATGAATAATTAGGAGGATTAACTGAAAAAACAGATCAAACTGTCTAGCATGGGGTTAACCTATTGTAGGCTCTCAACGAATATTTTGTCTCAAGTCGGTTGGTTTGGTTGCTGTGGAAGGGGTTAAACTTCTGCATCTTGACTTTAGTGCTCAGCAGAGGTTTTCTGCAACTTTAGACTGCCCTAGATTAAATGTCAGTGATGACCTAGAACAAATAAGGAAATGTGTTCCAAGTAACTTGGTCAGTAAATCTTTTCATCCTCCCTGTCAATTTTCTTCACATTCCAAACTTTGCACTAGAGAGTTGTAAAAGCACTTGATTCACTTAGCCCAGAGATCTCATTTAAATAATATAGCTTGTTCCAGTAAAAAGATAATTCTAAAATTGCTTTCTATAGAAATGTAATTCTTATATTTACACGGTTTGTAGTATTTTAAGAAGTATCCCAGAACTTGACCTAATGGGCTAGTGTCTCCCCAATAGTCAGGTATTTATGCCCAATGGAGGAAGCAGGATATATGTATACATATGTGTGTGTGTGTGTGTGTGTGTGTGTATAGTCATACAAGTTTAGCAACAGATAAGATCTTAAAAGTTATCTTGGTCCAGACTTCTCATATTTAAAATGAAGAAAGTAAGATCTAGAGAGATTAAGTGATTCGCTCCAAATCCTTGGTGGTAGCGGCTAGGCCTGGGCTAGTTTTCTGAATTTCACTATAGTGAAAATCTTTTGGCAACACCATCACGTCGAATTAGATCATGTCACTCCCTAACTTGAAACTCTTCAATACATTCCCACTGTGTTTATAATAAAAATCTCAATTCTTTATGGTGGCCTACAATGCAAGGCCATGTATGTTGTTGCTCTTGCCCAACTGTCCATCCTAATTTATAATTACTCTCTTCGCTTAGTACAGATTTCACCACTGCCCACAGTAAGAATCATATCACACATTGCAATCTAGTACACGCTCACACATGCACACATAACGAGCAAAAGTTCCTTAAGGAATACTTATTCTGAAAACCTATGACTTCCTGTTGCGGTGACCCAAAAAATTGACATCACATCCTACATGACCCAGGGTTTGAAAAACATGACCAGCCACACTGCTTCTTTTATGTTCTTCAAACAGACTGAATCTGTTTTTATCTTGGGACCTTTCCACTTCTCTTTGTTTGGGAGGCTCTTGCCCAGATAGTGTGCACGGCTAGGTCCTTTTTTTCTTTTCCATCCTGGTTTAAATGTATCTGAGAGGCCTTTGCTGATGACTAAATAGCCTCCCTGTTTATTTTGTCTCCTTTACAGCTCTTACGGTAACTTGTAATTATCGTGTTCATTTGTTTACTTGCTTATTGTTCATTTCCTCCAGTAGAATGTATATGGGTCTGGGGCAACCTGTGGGCATTGAGGGCAGGGACTGACTCACCTCTGTATACCTAGCACAGTTTTCAATATACACTCAATATAGCAATGCTTAAATATATACATAGGGAGATTAATCCGAGTCTGAGTTATGAGTTGTCCTAATTGGCTCCCCATCCCACCCCCCTCCCAAAATCTGGCAAAGAGCAACCCTCACAATATGTTTCATAAAGACGAGCATTATTTCAAAGTAAAACACTCTATGGCAATAAGTATAGGGAGGGTTGGGTTCGTGTGAATTCGTGTGAGCGGGTTATCTGCACAGCTGCTGTAAATACTAACTTAATTCAGACTTGCACGGGAAAGGAAAATAAAAACCTACAAAGACTTTCTGCCTTTAAAGTTTGAGTTGTTTCCTGAGATACTGCATCAGGTAAAGGTAAAGTAGGAAAGTGGTAAAAAGGGGTTTTTGATCTGCCTGTGTTCACCCTTTCAAGTTTACTTTTTAGAAATTAACTCAAGTGCTTAGAGAACGTGCACTTTCCTAATTCCTCTTTCATTTCACCCTTTCTATTGTCACAAACAATGTTTTGTTTCAGAAGACGCTTAAGGCTAACTTAAGCAAACAAACGTGATGTTTTTCCTAAAAGAAAATATTTGCAAATGTCACTTTAAGCACTGGCTGTACTCCAAAAACTCCTTTGGAGGTAGGTTCTTGGGAATTCCAAGCACATTTTTGTTTCCATAGAAATTAAGTTACCAATATGGATAGATTTGTAGCTGTCAGAAAGAATAAAGGTTCATAATTGTTTTATGCGTTACAAATAGTCCTTTTTTTCTCATTGTTTCTGTGAGAAAGTCCATGCTGAGTCTCAAATGAGAAACATTTCCCGTTCTCTCTTCCTCCTGGTGGCCAAGGCGAGAGACTACTCCCTTGTGACAGTAATTTATTTGGTTCCTCAAATACTCATTATGTGCTTAATTCTGAGAAGCAGTATGTCCTTACTAGAGAAAGAACTGAAGAAGGATAGAGCTCCCTCTTGAACTACTACAATCTAGTAGAGGCATTAAGACAGAGCTAACTATTAGAATTCAGGCAAATTGTATCAAGAAGAATGAGAGTGCTAAAATCATTTCTGTAGAAATCAAAGACAAGGAAAAAAGTCACACGTGGTTGGGGTGATTGGGTTAGCACCAAGTGAGAAAAAACTTAGAAAAGGTGGAAACTTTGGAAAGGTGGAACTTTGGAAAATGGCAGAACTTGGCCAGGTAGAGAATGTGGTCCAGATGGATCAAATAGTCTGAGCTAAGGCACTGTAGTGAGAGGGTACAGGGCATGTTAGGGAAGCCCCGGAAAGTCCACTTTGATGGGCTTTAAGCACACCCGCTAACAACAGTGGGAATGTAGTGTAAAGAGTCAATGTGTTTGTACTTTAGTGAGTTTGGAGAGCAGTTGAGGGATTGGTGTGTTTTCTTATTTTAGGTTTGTTTCTTGATTTTACAAGTATATGAATTCATATAAATGAATTTGGATGATACCAGAAAAGCCCAAAGAGTCCCCCATAAGCTAACCATCCCGAGATAGCTCTGCTAACAGTGGATGCATTTTTTCCGTTTAGTTTTTGGGTTTTTTCTTAATAGGCTTCACGCCCGGCTGGGCTTGAACTCAGGATCCTGGGATTGAGACCTGAGCTGAGATCGAGTCGGGACACTTAACCAACTGAGCCCCTCAGGCGCCCTCACTCTTTTTTTTTCTATACATTAAAAAAAAAAGCAGTTAAAAGACTTGTGTATGTAATTTTAGGGCTTGCATTTTTTTATTGACACGATCAAATTTATTTCCCTAGATTGATGAAGTAAACAGTGTTTTACATTACTATTTAATACTCAGCTCAATAAAAGATAATTTTCTTATCTTTTATCTTAATACTTCCTATCTGGATATTTATATTCTTTCCAGTTTTTTTTGTTAGTACAGTTTTTTGTGCAGTAGTTCAGATTGTTTCCTTAAGACTCATGTCTAGAAAGAGAATTATTAGTTTTAAGAATATGAATATATTTAAGACACTTCATATATGTGCTGCCGTTTCCTCCCCAGAAGTTGCACCAAGCTTCATTCCCACCAGCTGTGTTAGAGTATTAGCCTCACCACAGCCTTACCCACGTGTCAAGTCCTCACTCCTTACCTGATGGTTCTTTTAGTTTGCATCTGGTTGCTAGTGAGAGTAAATTTCTTTTCGGATATTTACATCGATTTGTAGTTTAAATTTTTTTTCATTACTATGGCTTTTAAAAATGGTTGGGCTTTGGGCGCCTGGGTGGCTCAGTTGGTTAAGCGACTGCCTTCAGCTCAGGTCATGATCCTGGAGTCCCGGGATCGAGTCCCGCATCGGGCTCCCTGCTCAGCGGGGGGTCTGCTTCTCCCTCTGACCCTCCCCCCTCTCATGCTCTCTCTATCTCAGTCTCTCTCTCAAATAAATAAATAAAATCTTTAAAAAAAAAATGGTTGGGCTTTTTCTTGTTTATGTCACTTTCACTTTTTTCGTGTTTTTAATGTATTCAAAATTACCCATTCCTTTGTGGTTTCTTTCATTGCCGTTAAGTTAAATAATTTTCTCTCGTCTGATAATTTCCTAGTCCTTTAATTTTTGCTTTGTCTTGGTTTATTATTTTTTACAATTTGAAATCTCTTTTAAGTAAAAACTGTATGAAACATGAATAAAGTGAACACCCATACACTTAACACCGCCATTCAGGGGCAGTGGTGTGTCCTGCATTTGGTGTTACTCATTCTCTTGCTTTTCATTAGCTTTACCACCTATGATGTATTCTTCACCAGTACTTTCTTAAGTTTAACTGTTTTTGAACTTTAAAATAAAAGCTGAATGTATTTTTC